TTTTTTTACTTTTATATGTAGTATTTTTTGAAAATATAAATTTTTTGATTCGCGCGCGCGTTTTGTTGTTGCTGTGGCCGCTGCCGCTGCTGCTGCTGCAGCTGCAACAGCAATTGTTGGCGTTGCGCGTGCTTGTGTTGCCCGCCGGGCGTGTCGCGTGTTGCAGCTGGCCAAAAGCCAGCTCTGAGCCAGTTTTCACACCAGCAATTACTTATTTTTGTTCCAGTGCTAAGCAAAACTATTGTGAACTGAGTGTGTGATTGTGATTGGCACGCAAAGGCTGCGCAAGGACCCTTGGATTACCTTGCGGGGCCCAAAACGAAAATAGAAGAGGCAGTMGACGAAGAAGAAGAAGAGGGCGAATAACATCACCAGCAGCAGAGCAGCAGAGCAGCAGCAACATCTTTTGCCGGTAAGTAAAACACATTTCATCTTCATCTTCACCTTCATCTTATCAAATAAACATAAAGAACATTTGCTATTGCTATTGCTATTGTTGTTGTTGCTGTTGTTGTTGCTGTTGCTGTTGCTTTGCAGTTGATTTTGCGGTTTTGTAAATGGACAAAGTGCATAGCCATTTGCCAGGACTCTCGGCATCCTGCCTGCCGCTGGGGCAGCCCTTTGGGTTCAGGGGCGAAGAGCCAGCCGCAACCTTTTGCTTGAGGTTTCGTCTGATGGCCGGGGCCAAGGGTTGAGGCTCGAAATCGAATCATTTGGCAGGCTTTATATTTAATTTGCATCGCATTTTCGGGTTTACAACCAAAGACAAAAAGCAATAAAAGCGTTCCCTCGCTCCACTTGCCCCACTGGCCCCACTGGCTCCACTTGCCCCACACGAAACGAGAAAATTGGGAAATTCGTATTTCTATGGCATATTTTGTTTTCATTTTCAATTTCTCGCTCCCACCCGCGCGCTCTCTCTCTCTCCTTCTCTCCTTCTCCCCTCTCTCTCTCTCTCTCTCTGTGGTCTAAATAAAATAACTTCACACACTCGAAGCATCTCGCATTTCATCTCTCGTTTATTTTTCTTGCTGCGGCCTGAAACTGTGAAAATGTGAATTTCCCTTGCTGGCCCATTCAAAATGATTGTCTCCTGCCTAACGGCACACGTAAATCAAAAGTTCTCATCAGCTCTTTAATGTCAACACTGGGATCCACTTGACTCTAGGCCTCACTTTCACATTTTGACAAGGCTGCAAATTTATTTGATTCTATTTTATTTAGTTTTTCTTGTTCTTTGATGAAAGTTCTTTAAATTAGATTTTCCTGTTCTGCCTTTAAGCCGGCTGGGCGACTGTCTAGACTCTCGTTCCTTTGGCCACACTTTGGCTATTCTTCAATTCATAGAAATGTGCCGTAAATGATTTTGATTTTATTAAGAGCCAACCAACCCTTGCCCGCCCCTTGGCCTTGTCTCTCCTGCGGCAGGAGCAGCATCCAAAGGCCGCTTAAAAGCAAACACAGTTTCGCATAATTGCTATGGCAACTAATCTGAATGTTCGCTCGCATTTCTTCATGGGCTTTCAATCAGAAATCCTCAAGTTGCGTTTAGTGCACTCGTTCGTTGCCATCGAGAATTGTCGCAGTTGCGCGACTAAAACATAAAAATCTGAATGGGCATTTCGGTATTTAGGGTCCATTTAGGTCTTAAACGGTCCAAGTCTCATTTTATGGGGGGCGTTCCGCATTACGTTAGCCAGGGGCAAAGTTTGGAACATAAAAGTTGGATGACGAGGAGTGAAAGAGGAAATATTGCTAGAAATAAATTTAGTAAAATG